AAAAAATATAATTCGTTTTGCTGACATCGTTTTCTAAAATCTGTCTTTTAAACAAAAAAGACCTAATTAATTCATTTATAATTTGAATCAACGCTGAAACATTGATTCGAAGATTGGTTACATTATAATTTAAAAACAATGCAGGCATTGATGATGGTAATTGTAAGTAAGATCATGTGTTTGATATTCTGATCTGGCGTATTTGGAAGCAAAGGTGTAATCTAATTTTCAGCGAAGAATGCTGGTCGTCGGAAGCCATAATTCATCATGCTCCCGCTTGGGCCCAGATCCTTTATGCCGGATCGAGGAAGTCTCCCCAACCTTCCAGTCGATAGCCTAGGAACCTTCATTGGCTACCACCGAGTACCGAAACCTTCAAACTAAACACGGATGGCTCTGTTAAACAACCTTCTATGGACGCTGCGAGTGGTGGTTTGATTCGTGACCTTGATGGCGTATGGATTGTGGGCTACAACAGGAATATGGATGCTGCTCAGTCCTCAATGCCGAGCTGTGGGGTTTGCTGGATGGCCTTCGCTTAGCATGGGATTATGGCATTCGACGGATCCTAATCGAGATGGACAACGTGGAGGCTATTAAGCTGATTACGAACCCGAGTCCGAGTAATAATTCAACTATCGTAAGACGGATTCAGAATTTTTTGAACTACAGCTGGTCAGTCACGTTTAAGACGGTTTTTCGAGATGTAAATGGCACAGCTGATGCCCTCGCTCGCCATGGTTTCGAGGTGGGATCAGGCCTCTCGCATTGGCAAACACCGCATTCGTTCATGGAAGCTTTCCTTACCAGCAGGCTTGGAGAGGAACCTCTAGTTACTGCTAGTTTTTTTCCCATCTTCTTGTCACCAAAAAAAATATCCACGCTAAAAATTAATGAATCATAAGGGGAGATGCTTTTTATCGAAGCCCAATAAGATTGCTTCTATTAACTTTTAGGGTAAAATATGCATTTAGTATTTAAATTATCTGTTTTAGTACTTAAGTTTTTAATTTTTTAAAATCATACATAAAGTTTAATTTTTGTTTCATTTTAGTACCTACTGTTAAACTTTAATTCCCCTGTTCAAAATTTAACGTTAAGTTTTGAAAAAATTTGAAAGTTTAGGTACTAAAACAGACCAAAACTGATAGTTTAGGTGCTAAACACGTTAAATTTTTAACGATTGAGTACTTAAATGAAATGAAAACTAAAAGTTAGGTATGATTTTGAAAAAACTGAAAATTAAGGTACTAAAACGAATCAAAACTTATAATTTAAGTACTAAATGAGTAGTATACCCTAACTTTTATCAGATAATTTATGGACTTATTGTACTCGCATGATACATAAGAAAAACGAATCTCTTATTTCGAATTTAAAAGGAAAAGTTATTCTTCCTAGTGGTTATGAGTTCGAGAAACTACATCCGCAAGGTATATGTATATAAGGGTGAGTATTTGATCGAGTCGAGACGAGTCAAAAAATTACTCGTTATTTGAGTTGACGAGTCATATTTTTCAACTCGAACTTGACTTGAAATTTTTTCGAGTCGAGTTATTCGAATTTCTATACTAATTTTGTTATAATTATTTATAGTATTATGAAAAGGATTTGTTTCAATTTTTTGACTTTCTTTAACCATATAATATATATATATATATATATATATATATATATACACATACACGCACATATTATAATGTCATTTAATATATCAAATACAATCTAAAATTATAAAATATATTTATAATTTTATATTTTAAAAAAGTATTTTGAGAGTAAAATATTGATTAGAGTATAAAGGAGTCAAAGAATTGATATGAAGAAAGAATTTGCAAACAATTATAGTCTAAAGACCAAATTTAATAAAATACAAAATTAAGGGACTAAAAAAGAGTACATTTTTAGTAAAAAAAAATCAGAATTGAAGTTACATAGGTATTCTATTGTGATATATGAGCATGTGGTTCAAATTTGATAAAAACGAACTGAAAATAAAGTATGAATTGAAGAAATAAGAAAATTATTAAAAATTGAGGGACTAAATAAAATAATAGAAAATTTGTTATCAAAAAGAGAAATTGAAAGTACATATATATATATATATATATATATATATATATATATATATATCTACAATGATTTAGGAGCGTATGGTTCAAATTTGGTGAAAATTGATTTAAAAAAAGGAGAAATTAAAAAAATAATAAAATCAGGGACTAAATCATAAAACTATTAGAATACTTAGACAAATTTTCGATTTTTCGAATGACTCGAAAATTCAAAATTTCAAGTCGACTCGAACCCAAAAACCGAATTGATAATTCGAGTTAACTCGAATAACTTGAAATTGAAAAATAAAATTAATTTTTCAAGTCGAGTCGAGTATTGCTCACCCTTATATGTACATTGTTAATACATTAAGAAAATTCTGAACATATATTACCTTACAATCACTTTAGAATATTAAAAAGAATACCCTTAGACTAATTATAAACTTCATCCTCACTGAATATAATTAATCTGTTGTACCGCCATAATAATGTCACTCTCGACCAAATCTTAACGTAACCAGGGAGAGCAACGAGTTAAAGTGGTCCATGAATGGTGGCATTACAAATTACAGGTAATAAAATTATTTGACCAGCATGCATGTTTCTTTGCCATCCCAAAACTCGTTAAATTCACATGGCCAATTGGCAATAAAACTCATAATTCAAGATTCTATTCAAAAACAAAAAACCAAATTTGCATGAACATTATTCAAGTGTTTAGGCCTACGCATGGCAACCCCAACTCACCCACAACTTACAATGATTCTCAGTCTCCGAGACTCAATCACATCATTCAACTTCCACTAAACCCAATTTTTAATAGGGAATTTATGTATTTAGTCATTTAATTACTTTTATAATTTTGTTTTAGTCATCAAATTATTTTGGTCCGTTTTGATCATTCGCCATTACAAATTTAATGATGATACAAAAGTGTTATCATTCGCCATTACCAAGTCAATAGTTATTTTTTTAATAATAAATTATCGAAATAAAATGAAAGTAATTGGATGACTAAATACATAATTTACCCTTCTTTATAAAACTTTCAGACAATTTGTTCTGAGGTGGAACATTACTAAATAACTCTTATCTGTTTTGTTGTGCAATCAATCATTTTCATTGTTTGTTAAAATGTCTTCATTTGATTTTAAGTAGGGGCATAAAATTCATTTGACAGCTAATTGGGTGGATTTTAAGTTTGATCCAATTTTTGGCTTGCATTTTGATTTAAAACTCACCCAAGGCAGATATTTTAATAGGAAAAGGAACTGTCTTTTTGTTGTGAAATTGAAATTAATAAAAAAAATATTCAAATGAATTGTGGATAAGTGTTCTTGAAGAAAATCAATTTCAAAGAAGATAAAAGACTTGATTATGCACTATGTTTTAGTTTGATTTGTGTAGCATCCACCCAAATAAATAAAGGGTAAACTACACGGGTGACCACAGAACTATGATTATCAACTATTTTCACCACCAATGTTTAAAAGCGATCAAACATACCACCAAACTATTTAAAAGGTTTAATCAAGTCAATGAGGTGATGACGTGACCGTTAATAAAATTGGCATAATTATATATTTGATCTTTAATATTTACACATTGTATCAATTTAGTCAATATTTTAATTCAATTAATTAAATTTAGTCTTCCAATCCGGAGGTGTCACGTGTCACCACATGTGTAAAGGGAAAACATATTGGAATAAAAGTGTATTTGGGTGGATTCAAAGGGCCTTGGGGGTTCCTTGGCAAGCTTTTGCCACTGGGCCAAACTCATGTATTTGGTTCCAAAGTGCATAATCTTTTATATGTCTTGTTTGAAATTATTTTACATACATATATACATATTAAATTATTAAAAAAATCTAATAAATAAATTATATTTCAGATATATATTAAATTATAGTCAATGTAATACTTAAAAATAAAAAATGAGTTTAATATTTTTATTTATTTTTTTACAAGTATTTTTAAATAATATATAAATTATATTAAAAATAAAATTATATTAAAATTATTTAGAGAATCCAAATCAAAAAATAAAAAAAATTTAATTTAAAAAATAAAAATAGAAACTCTTTTTTTATTTTTAAGTCTTACATTGACTATAATTTAATATATATGTGAAATATAATTTATTTATATTAAAATCAATTAAATTCACCCTCCAATTATATAGTGACATGTGACGCCTCCGAATTGGAGGATTAAATTTAATTAATTGAATTACAATAGTGACTGAATTGATACAATATGTAAATATTAAGGAGAAAATATATAATTATGTCAATTTTATTAACGATCACATCATCGCCTGTGCTAAAAATTAACAGTCAATGGCTTGATTGAACTATTTTAATGGTTTGATGATATGTTTGATTGCTTTTAAATATTTATGGTCAAAATGATTGATGACCATAGTTTGATGATTACTCTGTAGTTTACCCTAAATAAAAAGATACATGCTTTTATTACAATATCTTTCGAATGTGTCATGGGGTTTTAAATTTTGACAGCGATAAGACTATATTTAATTTTTTTTAATTATTATTTAAATTTTTAAATTTCAATTTTATTAAAAAATATGAGCCATTATTTTTATTTTAAACCATTATTATATCAGTAAATTTGCTTGTATCATCACTTTAATTTTCAAAAATATAAACTTTAAAATATTACATCATCACATATAAATAGAATTCAAGTTGAAACGACTTCAATACATATCAAAATATTTTTTTTTGGTTTACATATCAAAATATAATTTAATAGCAATTAGTGTTAATACAAGTGATTGAAATACAAAAAATTAAATTTATAAGGTCAAATTTAAATTTTATCATTATATCTTTTTGTAGACAAACTATAAATTCTTATATAAATCTATTAGGTATGCACTAATCTTGCACTAGAAACTATTCCAACTGAGATCGTATATACCTTAGTAAGTGCAGAATTTGCAGGCATTTCACTAACATCAACTCCCGCAGTATAAAAAGCTATACTTGCATATATGATCAAATCATGCTTCAAGTGGCTAAATTAAACACAACAAAAATATAGAATTTTCAGTGTTCAGAATCCATATAATATAACAATCATATACCTTTTTTCTTATGAACAAAAAACAGAGATGGACAGCGGTTGATGATTCTCCAGGAGACGGCTTTAAATACCGTCATAGTAACCACCGAATGCTATGTGAGCCCTGGTGATTGGAGCACCTCTGACTGCTGAGATCGCTTCATTGAATTTTGTTGATTGATGAACCACTTGTTTCATCCTCTGCAATCACAAAAGTTCCTCAAAAATGGGGCCAGAATTTTCAAAAATTTGCACAGATTCCCTGTGAAATATTATTACCTTTTCGTCGGTGTAACGATGAAACAGCAGCTTCTGGTTCAGTTGATGCTGTTTTTGCCTCTGTTGAGTTCCGAATACGATGATACAAAAGGTGGCGGCAGCAACACCGAAGGAACAAATAGCTCCGATGCCGGTCAAGCTCCATTTCCAAATCCCGCCGGAGTTTTCTTCCCAGTTGGCTTCGTTGTTTTCGATCGACTGCTTGAGTTTTGGAGAGCGCATGTTCTGCGCAGTCTCACCGTCGTCATCATCGAAATCAAACGTACCCGCTGCGTCGAGTTGAGGGATGGACCCTTTAGTGGTGGACCTGGGCGAGTCCATTTTGTTGGTCATGTCGACTGATTCGTTGTTGTTGTAACTCGGTTTCCTGAACGAAACCTGTGTCTTCACTTCCCGATCGCCTTCCACCGATTCGATTCCGGCTTCTTTGATCTTCTCCAGGATCATCGACGGCGTGGAACTGAAATCGATGGGTACCCTTCTCGGATCGTTGAGAATTTTGGGTTCCAATTGAAATGGGTGGTTTTCGTCGAAATAATTGGTGAATAGAACGAGATCAGAAAGACGGTTCCCTCCATGGATTTGCTTCTTCTCGGAATCTTGATTGATTTCCAGGAACCTGTTGTTCTCCGGCAAGAAAACCCACTCATCAATATCCATTTCCGGGTGAATCATTTTTAGTGATGAAGATGAAGTGGAGGGTTGAATTATTGGATCAAAAAAAAAAAAAAGAAGGATGGGTTGCTACATGTGGGATTTTCAGTAATGGAGTGAAAGATTAAACCTTTAAATACGACATTGATGAGCTTATCCTTGGAAGAGGAAGGCAAAGTTAGTGTGGCCCACCTACAGAATACCTTGTCCTCCAAGTTAGAAGGTACTAACACCAAGTTCAGGTCTCTTTAATATAATTATTTTATGGGTAAACTATATAATTGATTTTTTTTTTAATTTTATAATTTTTTCATTGATTTAAAAAATATAATATTTAATAATTTTTATTTTTATTTAATAAAAAATTGATAATTTATATTTATATTTAATTAAGATGTGATCATTAAGGGTTAACTATTGTTAGAATTTTAACGGATTGTTGGCGTGACACATAAGTTTATAAAGTTAAAAAATTATAATACAAAAAAAGCCCCAATGTTTATCAAAATGATTATTTTAATCCCTATTTTTTTAGCCTTTTGGCCTCTATCGTTTCACTTTGCGGGTACAAAGCTCCCTTAGTATATGAAAATCATTAGTAAAAAAAACAAGGGATAAATTGATTATTATGTCAAATATTAGGGGTTTTTCTCCCAAAATGAAACGTTGAGGCCAAAATGCTCCAAAAATTAAAATATGACACAAATTGACCATTTTTGTAAGCGTTAGGGGGCTAATTTTAGCATTATGCCAATTAAAAAGTAAAAACTACACAAATGGTCACTAATATTTGAGTAAGTTTGTGTTTTCCTATTGAAGTTTCAAAAAAAAAACAAATTGGTCACTAAAACATCAAATAGGTCCTTAAATAATGATTTTATATCTAATTTATTTCAAATACTATCTAATTTTTTATTTAGTGTTCAAAATATTTGATTACTTCATGTCTAAAAAAGTGAATTTCTAAGTTTTATTTTTAAAATTTTAAAAGTATATATATATATATATATAGGAAAATTTGAAAAAAATAGAAAATTTTTTGGGATAAATTAGATATAAAATCATTGTTCAAAGACATATTTGATGCTTTAGTAACCAATTTGTTACTTTTGAAATTTTATTGGGAAAATGAAACTTACTCAAACATTAGAGACCTTTTGTTTAATATACCCTTTTTAATTTTATAAAATTATTGTGTCATATCTGCATTCCATTAAAGATCTAATGACAAATAATCCTCGGTGGTCCCATCTTAATTAAATAAAAATGAAATTGACCAAATTTTAATTAAATAAAAATGAAAGTGACAAACTATTATATATATATTAAATTTAATAAAAAATTTACAAAAATTAAACAAAAGTGATTAATTCTATAATTTACTCTTATTTTATTTATCGAATTAAATAAAAGTGTTGAATACAATACCAATACTTTCTCTAAGGGCTAACTATATGATTGATCACTTATGTTTGTGTTTTGTTTATTTTTCCTCACTTATTTCAAAAAAATAACATATAGTTACTTTCGTTTTTATTTAATTAAGATGTGGCCATCAATAGTTGACTGTCGTTAGACCATTAACGATTTACTGAGCTATCATGGTAATTAAATAAAATAGAAAATACATCATTTCCACGTGGATTATGTTAACTACATGATTGATCACTTATGTTTTTGTTTTATCCATTTTTCCTCATTGATTTTTCAAAAAAACATAATATATATTGTCACTTTTGTTTTTATTTAATTAAGATGTGCTCACCACGGGTTAATTGTCTTTAGACCATTAACGATTTACTGAGTTGACACGATAATGAAGTAAAATATAAAATACCTCTTTTCCACGTGGATTACATGTGGATTAAGTTTAAAAAAAAGTAATTGATATAAACATGAAATAAAATGGTGTCACCAACTATCTATTTTCTTCAAATCCCTAACAAAAATAAAGTCCCATTTGAAATACTTTTTTTTAAATTCCTTAAAACAAGACACTTTTGGTATCCCTAGCAACCCTTAAAATCCTAAGAAGAAGAAAGAAAGAAAGAAAAGACACGTCGACAAAGAAGAATATTATGGAATCAAGTAGTGACAATTTCAACTTGTTCTCCATGACAAATGAGTAAATGAGTTGTGGAGAACCAGTATACTAAAACAACATCCATTTTTCATTGTGGAGTACGAGTTGAAATCGTCACTGCTTGATTCCATAATATTTTTCTTTGTTGACATGTCTTTTTCTTTTTAGGATTTTAAGGGCTGCAAGGGATATCATAAGAGTGTTGTTTTACGGATTTGAAGAAAATCATTTTAAAGGGAACTTTGTTTTAGGGATTTGAAGAAAAAGGATTGTTGATGACACTTTTTATTTCACGTTTATCTCAATTACTTTTTTATTTTTTAAACGTAATACATGTATAATACACATGAAAATGATATATTTTCTATTTTATTTAATTATCATGTCAGCTCAGTAAATTGTTACTAGTCTAACGACAATTAACCTGTGATAACCACATCTTAATCAAATAATATATATATTGTAGACACTCATTTTCGTCTGAATTTATTTTTTTATTTATTTTCTTTTTATATATTTCTATCTTGTTTTTATTATTATATTTATATATATTAATATAGTATGATTTTTGAAAATATTTTTAAAACGGTTTTCAAAAAAACATATAATATAATTTTTAAAAATCGATTTTCGAAAATATATAATATATAGTTTTGAAAACATTTTGAAAAATATAGTTTTTGAAAACGGGTTTTGGAAATATATATTATATAGTTTTTGAAAAACATTTTAAATATAGTTTTTAAAAAGCATTTTGAAAAAATATATAATATATAATTTTTAAAACATTTTTGAAAAAATATATATATTATATAGTTTTTAAAACATTGTTGAAAATATATATTATATAAATTTTAAAAATATTTTTAAAAATATATATTATATAGTTTTTAATTTTTTATATATAATAATAATATTATTATTTTAATTATTATATGTTTTTTATTATTATTATTTTCTTTTTCATTAATGCCTTTTATTTTATTTCAGATTCAATAATGAGTCTAAGTCCAAAGTCCAGCAGGAGCCCGATTGGGTGGGCTTGACCTAGCCCAAAAACCAATTAGGGTTCCCACGTAATGTTCCATGGCGCCGCACAGGAGGGAGTCAAGGGGTCACGCACGTGGCGGCTACGCGCCCAAATGGCCAACATTTTCTGGCCGAAATCCCCGGGACTGAACCATCCCAGGGTATTTGGTCACACAAACAACCCACGGTGCCGAGAATAACGTAATAACTCGTTGAGGGCGGAACTGACAAACAACCGGTGATGGGTATAAATACCCCACCACAACGGGACCAGAGGATCAACAGCAAGATTGAGTCACAAACATCAACACACGAAAACCATGGTGACAACAAGGTACCAAACACAATCTCAACGAAACCAGCCACATCGAAAAACACAAGCAACTTGAGAACACTAAGCACAACCAAAACAAGAAACCAAGCTAAAATAACAAAAACCCAATATCAAACCACACAAAAAAAATCAGAAATCAACCCATAAGAAGTCCTCAGAGAAGGAGTCATCAAAGAGTCGGAGAGCCACGTCGAAAAAGGTAAGAAAACCGAACGATTTTCTTTAGATCTACGTCGGTGGTTTTTTTTGGGTGTTTGGGCTTCGGTTTTGGGTTGGGGACGTTGAGAAAGAGCTTTGGGGGTATTTTTATTTTTTGGCCACTGCTGGCGGCGGCTGACGATGGCCGGCCGTTGCCAATTTCTCTCTGAAGAAGGAGGGATAGAGAGAGGCGAGAGGAAATGTTGTTCTCTCATTTCTAAAGAGAGAGAGGGGGAAATGGAAAATGGGTGGAATGACCTTAGAAGGCCGATTTTTGGGGGTATAAATACCCCCATGCGACGTCGTTTTTGGATGGGGGTTCTGCGTTTTGAATTTGTGGGTAAATTATATCCTCAGTCTTGTAATTTGTATCTGTTACAGTTTAGTCAATAAATTAAATTTTCAACTTTTAATTTGGATTTTAAATGTTATTATGCTTACGTTTTGTTTTAAGTTTCTTGCATCTTGATCCTTTTTTCCTTTTTTTTTGTTTTGTTTACTTATTTTTTGGTTTTTTCGGCTAATATTTATTTTCTTAACATTTTTATTTATTTATTTATTTTAGTTTTTTTCTTCTTTATTTTTATTATTCTTCTTTTTACTAAGTTTTATTTATTTTTACTTATATGTTTTCTTTATATTATTATCATTATTATATTAACATTTTTTCTCTTTTTTTTGTTTATTTCTATTTTGTCATCTAACATATTTTTTAGTAGTGATTCAAACCAATCAAAGGTAACCAATTCGAATCGGGTAATTTATATTCTAATTTAAATTTTTAACTTTTCGCAACTAAGACAACCGGCAAATTAATTGGTAACGAAAGGGTGGTTCAAGGGTGCTAATCATTCCTTGATCGTAACCGACTCCCGAACTCGACACATTTCTGGTAAAACGCAGATCATGTAAGATGGTATCCGATCAACCTAAATATTTTTTTTTAAAATGATCGGTGGTGACTCTAACCCAATTATCCAAGTCGAAGCCCAATTCCGGGCCCAACCGAAAGAATGCCGCAACAGCTTGGCGACTCTGCTGGGGACAGGTAAGTGAGTCAGGCCGAAATTAATTTTAAGTTGTTTTTAGCGAAAATTACAAATTTAAATATAAATTTATTTATTCGATTCTAATTATTTATCCTTGATTATTTTTCAAATAAATAGTTGTACTGACTTTTTTTTCAATAATTTCAGATTTTCAAAATTTTCATCTTTGGCTCTATACCCAAGCTCCAAACCCTTTAAGTGGGTAAAAGAGACACCTTCGTGGGAATTTATTCTCCGTATAGGCCTAGCAAGTAACCTTCGGGATTCATATACCTTATGTCTTCGTGTGAATTTATTCTCCGTATGTGCATAAGGGAATGTATCCTCTCGAGTTTAACTTAGTCCACATAAGCTTGTAATATGCTTAGGACTAATGGTCTGGCAACCCAAGGGGGCACCAACAAGGAGAACTCGGGTACCTTTTTAGAACCTAAACATGGAGACTATAGAGAATTAGACCCCACCCCAAAACCTCATTTCAACCCTAGGCTACTTTTGATATTATTTCTTGCTTTATTTTATGTTCAAAACATGTGAACTAGAAATTTATGCGGTTAGGATTGATTCAAAATTAACATGTGGGATAGAGATCATGTCCGAGTAGGAATAATAAGTATGTGGGGTAGATATCATGTGGGGTAGGACTTTTATTTTCATGATTGTTTGGATTATTATCTTTACCTCACTAACTCTTTTCATTGTTGTTCTCTTTTATTTTATTTTCATCATTTACATCATTCAAAAGAGGTGTTGAACCACTAAAAACGTGTTCGTTAAACGTAAATAATCTGCATTAATGGATAAAGGGGTTATAATACAAGATGTGAAAAGCTCAGAAGTCTGACTATGGTGAGAAACGACTCATAATGGACCAGGTTTACATCAAGCACGTCAAAAGTTAATTTTTCCAAAACGGGTTGGCAAAGGTTGTAGGGGCAAGACGAGAAAATGTTATTGACCTGAGGAGTCCCTTCAATGACAACAAGAACAAGATGGAGAAACCATGGCTGAGACGGGAGGCCATTGCTGACGAATTCAAGAAACAAGCTTCGGATAGTTCCTCCAATGGTGTTTCCGTTAGGGAACATACTCAACAGAGAGTGAAAATCAGAGATGCATCCATTCGAGACTTCCTGACACAAGTACAAAAAGAAACCCAGAGAAACCGGAGCAGTTCGACACGATATTCAGCTGGTGACAGATGAAGGCAGAAAATAAGTCAACCTGTCAGAAGTTGTTCGGGGTATAGAAGACTTATTCAGAATGTGCCTTTAAGGGTTTTCGTCCCTTAAAGAAATAACACTTTTTCCCAATAAGGATTATTTATAATAACAGACACATTTTTTGATCAATGCCTCGAACATTTCATGCATCATACAGTTAGACATATTTTGCATTTTGTTATTTTTCTTTATATTCATATTAACTAACAGAAGCATGTCTCATCAAAAGGAAAAAAATACTGGATACACCTCCTCAAGCATTGGACACACCCCATCCGTATGAAACCCACTTAAAAAAGATGAAGATGAAAGCGAAAATTGCTCAACTCGAGGAAAATATGCTGAAGTTACAGAGAGAGATAGAAGATAAGATAAACCAAAGCAGTTTGAGTACTCTGGATACAATCATGAAAAGCCAAGAGTCATTGGTCGATCAAATTATGGCCAAGTTATCTGGTCTACATCAAGCGAATACACTTGGGACAGGTTCATCGAAAGGGGTAATTATACCACGTACCCCACAAGTGGTTATCACACCTGGAATCTTACCCGAACTTCAAGAGGGCTTATCCTCTACAAAGGCAAAAACCACATCTACTGCAAAGATACAGACCACTGTATTTAACCCTAAGAACAATCCGAGTTATTACCATATACCGAATTTAGACGAAGAGGATAAAGCAAAAAAGATGGAGGAGAAAATCAAGCAATTGAAGGACCAAATGAAGGTAGTTAAAGGAGACCATGACCACCATGGAGTCGATGCCGCATAACTCAGCTAGTCCTAGACTTGGTTTTTCCTTCGAAATTCAAGTCCCCGGAATTTGAGAAGTTCGATGGGAACAGTTGCCCATCCACCCACATCACCATGTTCTTTCGAAAGATGACAGGATATGGAGGAAACGATTAGCTCCTGATCCACTGCTTCTAGGAGAGTCTGTCAGGCTCAGCCATCCAGTGGTATAATCAGCTAAGAAGATCCCATATCAAGACTTGGAAGGATTTAGCCAAGTCATTTATGGAACAATACGAGCACGTCAATGGTATGAGGACCGATTGATTTATGCTACAAAGGATGGAAAAGAAACATAATGAGAGTTTCAGGCAATACGCACAGAAATAGAGGGTTTTGGTTGTGCAAGTTCATCCACCCTTGGATGAAAAAGAAACCGGAAAGCTTTTTGTACAAACCCTGAAGACTCTGTACTTCAAAAACCTGGTTGTAATCACATCAGGAAACTTTTTAGACTTAGTTATGGCAGGAGAAATGATCGAGTCGGCCATAAAACAAAGTAAGATTGAAGAAGGGGAGGCAAGCAAGAATCCTCCTATGAAGTAGAGGGATGGAGAAATTAACAATGTCAACACCTACAACACTAATAAAGGTGTTACAATCGCCAAATCGAAATCAACTGTAGTTGTACCGTCAGGTACTTCTAGTTAAGATTTCAGAGAACCTAGGAAGGAAATGGAGCATTTTGACCCTATTCCCATGACCTACAATGAGCTTTACCAACAACTTTTTGACACCCACGTAGTGTCACCGTATCCGGTGGAGCCAATGAAGCCCCCATACACCAAGTGGTATGACGAGAACGCTCATTGCGAATATCATGGCGATGTCCCAGGGTACACTATTGAGAACTGTTACGCATTCAAGAGAATCGTGCAGAAAATACGTAACAAGAACTTGATCGACTTCAATAACTGAGGGGCATCCAAGTGAGGAGGAAGATGATTTCATCATTTGAGGCATTTTGTTTGAATTTGTTTTTTTCATCTTTTCTCAAGTTTTTTGTAAGGATATTTAGGTTACTTTAAAGATGACGAGCAATGAATCAAATTGGGAAACTTGAAATTCTTTGAATATCAACTAAATTAAAAAACTCGGTAAATGATTCAGAGTTACAGATCATTGACAAAGTAACATGATACGCTCAAACACCATATCCTTCTCTTGTAAATTACCAATATAGTTGTCTCATCTCATAAGGGAATGAAAAAAAGGCTTGGTATTTAGATGTGCATATGTGCGGACAACATGGGACATCTTTTGCATATGACATTACTATACTTTTTGCTTAAGACGTTCAATGATGATCATGAACTTTACAGATGTAATAGTCGAGTAGGTGAATCTAGTTTAGGTCAGTTGCTTGGAAATTAAACTCTAAAGATGAAATTTCTGACCTTCAACAAATACCTAGACTATAACAGGTTCTTCTTGATAATCTTAAGAAATTAAATCCGTAAATCTGAGATATTCCACTAAGGCAATTGGTTATAGAGGAAACTCGAAAGCCCTGGCTTTATGAATAGATTGCATTCAAACCATGACATTGCTCGAACACCTGGCAACTCGGTGTCTGCTCCACTACTATTGTCATGCCAAAGACTTTGTGATGTGATGAACCCTTCAATTAACCTGATAAAAATGATTATAATATTAAACTGTCCCTCTAAAGCAATTACTAAAACGCCCTAGCTTTATGGATTCGGCTAGCTAGACAATGGCAAATTAAATCAAATTTATCTAATCAAGAAATTTTCGGTAATGATGGACTAAGGGAGTTAAGGAACACCTGTTATAATCAATTTCACATGAGTACCCAAGAATTTATTTTTAGATAGATATTTCCACACTGCCTTTGTTAGAGTAGCCTACAAAGCTTGAACAAACGGAAGATTTCAGAGAACCGAAATAGAAGGTCTAGTAATTGATCATGCTAGTTACATCATTTTGTTCGCATCCAATTAAAATGCCAAGCCAAGAAAGAGGCATGTTGCAATATTAAACAGAAAAAATGACATTTCTTGATGGCTGGAACCTTAGAAAATAGGAAGCCAACCTAAAGCCAACTCATCCATTTGAACATTTGTCAAAGAGCTATACCTCTGAAAGCATTAAAAGAGCTATTGATTCATTTGATATACTTTGAACTCATGTTTATGATTCGATTCGATTGCAAGCCTGAATTAGGGAGCAATGTTTTACATAATTCTTATATCTTTCTTTTTTTCCCTTATAAAATAAGAGAAATGAGAAAAACATTTTCAAAAAGGACAGTCTCAAATATGAAAGGTCCTTGAAGCTGAAACCCGAGAAGAAATTGGGGCATGGTCGATGTCGAGTACAAGAGTGACATACAAAATGAGGCTCCATCCAGAAGATAAAACAGAGCCAATTCATGTTGCATGCATCTCAGGCATACTTAAGAGCATCGCATTTGTTATTTTTTCACGTACATAATGTTTTATAGCTTTTAGAGTCAAGTTTCGACTATAAAATGTAAGATACTCGATTCAAAAACACATTCAACCAAGACCTTCGAGTTTGATTACACTCAGCTCAAAGGCACATCATTTGCAGCATAGCTTAAGGCGAGAAGGGTTATCTGCCAACAAAAGACCTTCGAGTTCGATTACACTCAGCTCAAAGGCACATCCAATTTACAGCATAACTCAAGGCGAGAAGGGTTATCTGTCAACCAAAACCTTTGAGTTCGATTACACTCAGCTCAAAGGCTCATCAATTGCAGTATAACTCAAGGCGAGAAGGGCTATCTGCCAACAAAAGACCTTCGAGTTCGATTACGCTCAGCTCAAAGGCACATCCCATTTACAACATAACTTAAGGTGAGAAGGGTTATCTGTCAACCAAGACCTTCGAGTTCGATTACACTCAGCTCAAAGGCACATCATTTGCAGCATAGCTCAAGGCGAGAAGGGATATCTGCCAACAAAAGACCTTCGAGTTCGATTACACTCAGCTCAAATGTACATCCAATTTACTGCATAGCTCAAGGTGAGAAAGGCTATCTGTCAACAAAGACCTTCAAGTTCGATTACATTCAGCTCAAAGGCATATCCAATTTACAGTATAGCTCAAGGCGAGAAGGGTTATCTATCGTCAAAGACCTTTGAGTTCGATTACATTCAGCTCAAAGGCATGTAAAATTTACAGTATAACTCAAGGCGAGAAGGGTTATCTGTCATCAAAGACCTTTGAGTTCGATTACATTCAGCTCAAGGGAATGCCAAATTCACAGTATAACTTAAGTCAAGAAAAGCTATCTATCAATAAAAACTGTCGAGTTCGATTCCATTCAGCTCGATGATACATCAACCACATGGTAGCATCGAGAAACTACTTTCTGGTTGAAGCCGAGGTCTTCAAGTCAAGAAGAAGATCTGAGGCAATCTCTCTGCTTAGTACAATATAACTTAAGGCGAGAAGGGTTATCTGTCAATAGAAACTTTCGAGTTCGATTCCATTTAGCTAGATGACGCATCAACTACTTTCGGATTAAGGTTTTAACCCAGGTCTTTAAGTCGAGAAGAAGACCTGAGTTAGTTGTGCTTTAGTGACAAGAAACCATCTTTCAGCAGTATATCTTAAGTAGAGAAAAGTTATCTGTCAACGAAGATTTTTGAGTTCGATTTCGTTCAGCTCAAGGGCATACCAACCACGCGGTGGAGCCCAAGAACTTTTTTTCAGTCGAATTTTGAACCAAGGTCTTTAAACCGAGAAGAAGACCGGAGTTGACTATAATTTGGCAACAAGAAGCCACATTCTGATTCAAATTCCGAACTACGACTTCAATTTCATATCATTTCAAGATGAACTCGACTTCGGGATGGAGGAGTCATCCGTAACTCAATTTGACAGGGAGTTATTCTTAATTGAAGTATCATAGTCAATTTTCAACTCCACCGAACGAAAATTTGTGTCCTTTTGTCTGTCCTATTTTTCGTTCCACGAAAAGGGACAAAAAGGAGAAGCTGTAGACACTCATTTTCGTCCGAATTTATTTTTTATTTATTTTCTTTTTATATATTTCTATCTTGTTTTTATTATTATATATATATATATTAATATAATATGATTTTTGAAAATATTTTTTAAAACGGTTTTCGAAAAACATATAATATACTTTTTAAAAATCGGTTTTCGAAAATATATAATATATAGTTTTGAAAACATTTTGAAAACATATAGTTTTTGAAAACGGTTTTTGGAAATATATATTATATAGTTTTTGAAAAACATTTTGAAAATATATATAATATATAGTTTTTAAAAAACATTTTGAAAATATATATAATATATAATTTTAAAATATTTTTGAATATATATATATATTATAGTTTTTAAAACATTGTTGAAAATATATATTATATAATTTTTAAAGACATTTTTGAAAATATATATTATATAGTTTTTAATTTTTTTATATATAATAATAATATTATTATTTTATTTATTTTTATTTATTATATGTTTTTATTATTTTCTTTTTTATTAATGCCTTTTATTTTTTTCAAGTTCACTAATGAGTCTAAGTCCAAAGTCCAGTAGGAGCCCGATTGGGTGGGCTTGACCCAGCCCAAAAACCAATTAGGGTTCTCACGTAATGTTCCATGGCGCGCACAGGAGGGAGTCAAGGGGTCACGCACGTGGCGGCCATGTGCACAAACGACCACCATTTTCTGGCCGAGATCCCCGGGACTGAACCATCCTGGGGTATTCGGTCAAACAAACAACCCATGGTGCCGAGAATAATGGAACAACTCGTTGAGGGCGGAACTGAAAAACAATCGGTGGTGGGTATAAATACCCCACCACAACGGGACCAGAGGACCAACAACAAGATCGAGTCACAAACATCAACACACAAAACCACGGTGACAACAAGTTACCAAACACAATCGCAACGAAACCAGCCACATCGAAAAACACAAGCAACCCGAGAACAGTAAGAACAACCAAAACAAGAAACAAACCCAAAATAATAAAAACCCAATATCAAATCATAGAAAACAACCCGAAGAAGTCCTCGGAGAGTCGGAGAGCCACTTCGGAAAAGGTAAGAAAATCGAACGGTTTTCTTTAGATCTACGCCGGTGGGTTTTTTTTTATGTTTGGGATTTGATTTTGGGTTGGGGACGTTGAGAGGGTGCTTTGGGCTGACGGTGGCCGGCCATTGCCTGTTTCCCTCCGATGAGGGAGGGTTAGAGAGAGGCGAGAGGAAATGTTGTTATCTTATTTCTAGAGAAATAGGGGGAAAATGGAAAATGAGAGGAATGGCTTTAGAAGGTCGGTTTTTGGGGCTATAAATACCCCATGCGACGTCGTTTTGGAGGGGTTCTGAGTTTTGAATTTGTATGTAAATTATATCCTCAGTCCTGTAATTTGTATTTGTTACAGTTTAGTCACTGAATTAAATTTTCAACTTTTAATTTGGATTTCAAATGTTATTATGCTTACGTTTTAGTCATTAATTTTTATTTTTATTTGAATCTGACCTAGGAATTCGTGCATGTTTCAATTTAGTCACTATTTTTTCTCTTTTTGTGATTTAGCCACTGTTATTTTAAGTTTCTTGCATCTTGATCCTTTTTTTCCTTATTTTGTTTTGTTTACTTATTTTTTGGTTTTTTTGACTAATATTTATTTTCTTAACATTTTTATTTATTTATTTATTTTTAGTTTTTCTTATTTATTTTTCTTATTCTTCTTTTTACTAAGTTTTATTTATTTTTACTTATATGTTTTCTTTATATTATTATCATTATTATATTAACATTTTTCTCTTTTTTTGTTTATTTCTATTTTGTCATCTAACATATTTTTTAGTAGTGATTCCAACTAATCAAATGTAAACAATTTGAATCGGGTAATTTAAATTCTAATTTAAATTTTTAACTTTTAGCAACTAAGATAACCGACAAATTAATTAGTACCAAAAGGGCGGTTCAATGGTGTTAATCCTTCCTTGACCGTAACCGACTCCCGAACCTGACACATTTCTGGTAAAACGAAGATCAGGTAAGATGGTGTCTGATCAGCCTAAAATTTGTTTTTAAAATGATCGGTGGCGATTCTAACCCAATTATCCAAGTCGAAGCCCAATTCCGGGACCAACCGAAAGACGACTGCGACATATATATATATATATATATATAATTTTTAAATCAGTGAGATAAAATGGACAAAATAAAAACATAAGTGATCAATCATGTAGTTAACCTAATCCACGTGGAGATGATGTATTTTCTATTTTTTTTTGTTACTGTGTCAGCTCAGCAAATCGTTAATGATCTTACGATAGTTAACCGTTAGTAACCACATCTTAATTAAATAAAAATGAAAATGACTATATATTATATTTTTTTTAAAATCAATAAAAAATAGACAAAATACAAATATAAATGATCAATCATATAATTAACCCTTTCTTAAAACTGTTTTTTTGAAAACCCTTTCTTTAAACATGAATCCAGGAATCTGATACAATCTCTGCAAAATCAGTACAGTTGGTATTGTTTTGGACACTTTAACAAACACAAGGATAAAAAAATAATAATTTTCTTCTTATATATACATATATTAAACTAAGTATTTCACACTATTTTATACATTATATTATAAATAAAATTTATTTGTGGACATTACATGTATTAAACTGGGTATTTATATATACATATACAGATAAATTATCATTATTTGTTAGAATTATAGTAAAAAATATTTTGACGAGCATTTTTTATGTATATAGTATTACTATTAAAAAAATACTTATAAGAAAAATAAATGATAATTTTATATATTTTACGTTAAAAGTATATCTAAATAATTTTTTAATTTCTTTAATATTTTATATATTAATTTAAATTATGATAAATTAAAATAAATAAATTTATAATAATTGTACGTGTCCGTAAACATATATAATTTAAAATAATTTTATCTAAAAAATAGACAGGATAAGATATGAAATTTTTATACTAAAAAATAATTTATTAGTCATAAATAAACACATTATAAGATAACAAAGTGAAAAATAAATTTGTAATTTTAACTTAAAAAACACTTTTCAAAAGCAAAAGTTAATTTTTTTAATTTTTACGTTTAATTTTCTTAAATAATCTAAATTTTTATATGACAATATATATTTAAATAGTTTTTTTTATCTATTGACAACACATATATTCTATAAATATAATTTTTTGAACTTGAAACTTTTAAAGAGAGCATCACTTTCTTTTATCATTAAAACACTCATTTAATTTTTTATATTAAATTTTAAATCTTTAAAGTTAAAATCTTGTATCCTAAACTTTAACTTTTGCAATTTATTATGTTAAATCTTAAACTTTAACTAATATCAATAATATTAAAATTAATTAATTAAATTTGTGCATCGAAAAGTTCAATAGAAGATAATAGGGAGAAAAGAGAGTCGGTTGCTTGCAGGAGTTTGCTTGGAATGAGAATGATTGGCAGGTTTATGAAGGATGATACAAGTGTCCATGGTCTGGGATCTTCCTTTATTTGATTAATTGTTTTTTTTTATTCTAATTTCTCTACATTTACCTTTTAGTTATTTTTTTTGTTTTAATTAATTTTTAAAACTATGTTCAACTTAAAATAATAAAATTATATCTTAATTGATAAATTTTTATGTAGTTATTTTTAAGATTTCTTTATTTTTAATTAATAAAATTAAATCTTCCTTTATTTTCATGGTTTATTTAGTTTTAGTTTAATATAAAAATATTTAAACTATATTTCTTTTTTATTTAGGTGTTTAAATTTTTTCGATCAATTTAGATGTATAACGTTATACGCATTATCATTTTAGGTGACTCAACCATAACAATCATTAAAAAATTCTATTAAGTGACACACATTGAATTTATATAACTTTAAAAAATTATTTAAAACAAAGTATTTAAAATTATATTAAAACCCTAAAATTTTCTTAAATCTTAAAAAAAATCTTAAAATTTTAAAACACTAATTTTAATTTTTATATGCACGCCAACCGTCGTCATTTGTCTTTATTGGTGAACACCTCCCACCATCGACGAAACCTACTATCAACCACCCACCTCCTCACTAGTGCGAAACCACCGATCGCCGTTACCATCGCCTTTCACCAGCCTTTAAAATCATTCCATCGTTGCATCCCCTCACCACCGGAGCCTTCAGTATTTCAGATAGTATTTATGGCTCTACTTTTTTTTTAGTAACTAGCTTTCATTTTTATGGTTTTCATGCCCTTTATGAATCATTTTTTTCTTGGTATATCGCTTTACTACAAGGAGTTTCAAAGACGAACAGAGCGAAAACAAAGCAGGGATAATTCCTTGTTGGGGAAAATCCTTTATAGAACCATGATTTTCTTGTTCCACTAGCTGGGGAAATAGGTCCAAGTCTTCGAGTAGCACCACTATATATTCAAGAAAGTATAAATACTAATATTGTAACAACCTTATACTGATAGTGGTGACTTGATCTGATCCGTGATGTCACATTAGGATCACCGGAGCGACCCACAATAAAAATTCAAGAAAAAAAAAATTTGTTTAACCATTTAAAATTGTAAAACAATTTATAAATAAAAAAATTCAGAAAAATCATTCAAATATTAAAATAGAATTAAATAATGTCAAATATCAATACAAGTTACAGACTCAACATAAAAACAAATGTGACCAACATACCCCATAATTATATGAGTATCGTACTCCGCAAGCAACACCGAAGGAACCAAAACCAACGGCAAACAACACAGAGTCGCTTCCTTTAACCTGAAAATAGTAAGTAACAAAATGAGCTATAGGAAAGCTTAGTGATATAGAACTACCAGATGATGCTAAAGGACAAGTAAATATATGGCAAAGCATAAAACTTTCTTGTTGATTCAGGCTTATACATGTTCTACTGATGAATTATGGTTCATTAATGAAATCTTCAAGTAACAATCATGAAACCTATAGTTCAGAGGAAACATTTAGAGAGAAGAATTTAAGAGATTGAATTGGGGTGTCTAGTGTGTTCCAATAAAACCGTAAATAAGTGTACATATAGTTTAAAATTATAGTAATACCCTCCAATCGATCATCGATATGCAATTCTCTAGAACTGCATCCATAAGGACTTACGCTATGCACATTGGGCGTAGGAGACAACCTAAGGGGATACCTTAGATCCATAAAGAATTACTAGATTGTTCAGATCTGAACATATAGAGACTCCATAACTGATCCCATGTAGGACCCCAATATAAATCAACTTAAATTGTAAACAGTAATATAAAAAATCGAGAGCTAGTAAATTATCATAAAAGTGACAGTGATGTTTATTTAAATCATATAAATACCCTTTACTTGTACACTGAAATATAGTCCCTCAGAACTGTATCCATAAAGACTTACCCTATGCCCATTGGGTGTAGGTGCCAACCTGAGGGATACTACAAATCCGTAAGAAATTACCATTTTGATCAGAGTTGAACCTACATAACTCCATAATACATCCTAGAGAGTACCCCATTAAAACAATTTCATATAACAAACATTACTATTAGACATATTTATATTTTCCAGTAAAACCAATAACCAGAGAACATGTATTAGTAAATCTGGAATCAAGATTTTGATCAGATAAAACATTTGTAAATCAAATCAAATAAACAACTATATTTCAGAACATATAAAGTAGTCATATAGTACACAAGGAACACACTAGAGGATCCAATTATTTCTCTGAGACACTTGGTAGTTATCTGGAAGGGAAAACATGAAACTTCTATAAATTGATTGGATTTTATATACGAGATCCCTATGAAAAGGGTTCAATTACTAATAGATATAATCAAAAATTTAAAAATTGATGATTCAATACCATTTAGGATTTAAGTGCATTAGAAAGGTATTCATGAACTTTTACATCAGAATTTTTAATACTCAAGTATAACACAAGAGTGATTTCATGGATTAGGCTATTATGGGCATTTTAGACATTTTGATTCTTGAAGAATTCTTACTAAATTAATCCAATAAGGGTAAAACAATTATTTGCATTATTCAAGATTTCGATTCAAAATGAACCAAATAAGTCATACTGTAGCACCCTCGGACCGATACGGGTGATCCGATCTGATCCAATGAGCCACATTAGGGCCACTAGAGCAACCCACTCTGAAAATCTAGGAAAAACAAAATTTCAACCAATAAAATTTTAAAATTGTAAAAAATATCAATATATAAATATGTTCATATATATTTTCGACATTAAAACAAAATTCAATAATACATAATATAAAGACAAGTTTCAGACTCTAATATGAAAACAAATTGTAACCTACATGCCCCTAATTACATGTGTCACACTCCATAAACAACACCAAAGGAACTCCTAAAACTGATGTCGATAAAAGCACAAAATCATTTCTTTTAACCTGAAATGGTAAGTGATAGAGTGAGTGAGCTTTGGGAAAGCTCAGTAATACAAAACTGTCAAAAGATGCCAAAGGACAAACAAATATATTGTAATACATGAAAATTTACTTAGTGATACAAGTTTCTACAAGATCCAGAAAAGTCTTGAAAATTTATTAATTGATCCTCAAAGTAACAGTCGGGAAGTATCTAGATAAGAAAAGTTAGACAGATATAGATCTCAGATATTTAGTTGAAGAGTTTAGTGTGTTATATAAGTGCAGAGAAAACATACATATAGTTCCAAATTATAAATATGTATTTCAGTAAAACAAGATTTTATTGTAATATCCAAAAATTTGGCTAGTGACTAAAATGTAAATTTTGAAAGTTTAGTGGCTAAAGTATAAACTTTGTAAAAATTTAGAGACTAAAGATTAATTTTCAAAAGTTATATAATTTGGCCCTGTAAATGAATAGTTCACCCCCAAGAATGATTTTTTGTGTAACCCCCTCAGACCGATGCGGGTAACCTGATCCGATATGGAGTGTCACATTAAGGCCACAGGAGCGACCCACTGTAAAAATAGCGGAAAATTTAAAACCTTTATTAAATCATGTAACTTATAAAATTATTTATCAGTATGCAGAAATAAAACATATTTTCAGACTCGTATATAAAACAAAATACAATTGCATGCCCCTTAATCACATGTACCATACTCTGCAAACAACGTTGGAAGAACTCCTTTACTGAAGTTGATAGCTGCAATGGTATAATTCTTTTAACCTGTAATGGTGAGTAATAGAGTGAGCTTCAGAAAGCTCAGTAATACAGAACTACCAGATAATGCTGAAGAACGTGCAAATACAAATAAACATATATTTCCTTATTGGTTCAGATATTTACAGATTTTTTTTAGGCTGAGATGAGGTCTCATTGATATCTCAGGTAGTAACAGATAGTATTCAGTTCAGATGGAAATATTTCGGATGTCTAGGTTCAAGAGATCGAATTAGGTTATCTAGTGTGTTCCCATAAAACCAGTAAAAAGATACAGATATTTTAAAACATATTTTTTTTAAAATTCAAAAAATCCTAATAATCCCTCCAACCACTACACATCAAAATGTGTAGGTTCCCTAGAACCGTACACCTAACCGCACAACTAGTATGACCCTGAGCACAAAGCCGATGAGCCTGCATATATACTTCCTCCAACAATAACCCCCCCAAATAAAACATTTTTCCGTTAGTTAACGGAGTTATTAGAAATCAAAACAAAATTTAGATCATATATTATAATAGAAACCACATCAGAAATCATAACAGAATCTAGGTCAGGTATCAGAATAGAATTCAAATCGAAAATCAGATAAAACATTCATGTGATTAGGGAACACACTAGTGTTTACATATATTATTTTAAGATATTGGATAATCTTATCAAGAAAAGAAACACGGATCTTCAGTTTACCAATAGAATGTCGGAAGTTAGAATCACTATTGGAAGAGTTCATTAACTGACAGAATCATCAGTTATTCAGAATATGATTTATCAGGATCATCTTATTCGGACATTTTTCGGAAGCTCTATGAAATCAGAAGGGTATTCAGAATCCTTTACATCTGAGTTACTTGTTTTTTCGTACATGACCAGAGTAATTTGAGCTGATAAGGAAGAACGAAGATTCAAGACCTTTACAATCTATGTCGATTGATCGGATTATCGAACAACTCTTAGATGAATAGTTCCCAGAACTAATGCTTGTCAATTGGTCAATTCATTGTTCTTCCAAGGTATTTACTCTTTAATACCATAAATTCTTGTACATAGATCATCTTCGGAATCATCGCTGAATAGATCTTCCAATGTCTTTATTTCATTTCTACGCTTCCACAATATCATGAAATGCTGACATGCTTGATTTGTAGATCATGACCTAGAAGGGTTGTACATCATATAAGTTCATTAGCATTCCCAGACTCAACCAAATCACTTATTTAATCCTCAGTCATTGAGCTTACTCAGTTCACTTAGTAGTCAAGTCTATCCCGATTACTTCAGAGTTTTCCATAGTAATTCAGACGTTTCTGAATTTCGATACATATTATACTTCCGTTCAGTTCAATTTGGTATTCGTAGTTGATTTGTCTAATGAATATCCACTTTTTTGTACCGAATACGATCTAGAGTTGAGATGAGTACTTCCAGAATTATCATCGATCCAAACTTGAGGAGACGAACCAAGATTCGAGTGCTAAATATGTTATTCAGGTACTCACATAACATTAGCATTGGTCAACTCACTTCAGTTGAGTTCCATAACTTTTAAGGGTAGTACAACACCCATGTTTGTTTTGATTCCTTAATTAATCCAAGACATTTACTTAGTATAGGCCATAAGGGCATTTTGGTGCTCAATGTTTTTCCATTCATTTCAAAGCTTGAGGATATATATTCATTCCTGGGCTTTGTGATATTCTTGAGTCATTTTCATTACAGGTGTATTTTGGTCAATTTTCAGATCTAGGGTATTTCAATCATTTCATTCCGTAGGGTATTTCAATCATTTCATTCCGTCTGGTCTTATTATTTAATTCAAATTTATCATATACCTTAGTCCTTTCGAACAATTCTGTCAAAAGAGCACTATCGATAAATTATTCTTCAGGTATTTACTAATAACTCGGAGATATACGAATTATCAAGAATTTTCTGTATAAACGTGTGAACTTAATGATGAAACCAATAATTCATCGATTTAGGCATGAATTCTTGTGTAGTTTTCTATTCAGTATCAATTCGGGCTACTTTTCCCTCTCAAGGGTAATTTCATAATTTTTTAACCATGTAATTTATGTATTAAAACTCTTAACACAGATAATTAGAATTTAGAAATTCTAGGGTTAATCACTTTTCTGGATAATCTCTAAACTTTAAATTATTCCTTATCAAACTTCTAGTATCTTGACAAGCCATCTTGGGTGTAGAAATCGGTTACCAGATTTTCTATGCAAAACTAACATTTTCTATGCAAATCAGTAGTTTCATCAAACAGTCATATACATTCATAATCAAAAAAAACTTGTAATTTAATAAACTCTTAACTAATTTATCACTCAAACTGTATCTGGTTCGAGTCCATCCATAATCAAACATGCATAATAGATCAATCATATACATTCATGCATTTATCCATTATTAACATGTTCTATAAAGCATAAAGAGGTAGTAATGTATTACCTCAATTTCTGTGTCAAACTGATCAACAATTTAAACTTTATTCAAACGCCATCGATCTTGAAATCAACTTCCAATAATTCCTCAGATACATATCAACATAAATTTCATAAAAAATGGATCTTAATTACATAAAACGGATCGAATCTTGTGATAAATAAGTGAAAATCAGCTTACCGGGGTTGAATTTGACGAAACAGACTTAATATTCAGATTCAGGACGTCGAAAAACATAAAATACGACTTTTAAAATTTTTTGACTTTTTGGTCAAAGTCAAAGTCAATGGGTTTAACTAACAATTTTGAGGCTTTCGAGTCCGAATTTGGCAAAACGGAGTGCAGAAACTAACTCAGGACGTCGAAAAACGTTAGGATAGGTATACCCAAAAAAAGTCAACGGTCAGTCAACGCCGGTTAAAGGTTCGGTCAATGGTGGTCAACGGTGGTCAACAGTCAACAGTAAACGGCTCGGTCCAGGCGGCTCAGCTCGATTCAAACGACTCACCATGCTTCCAGACGAAGCCCACTCTCTGGTGGTGGCGCGTACGGCGTGCTACAATGTCTGAAAAATTCCCGAAACATTTAAAAAAAAATATTTTATGGCATTTTGAGACACTTACCAAGCTTAGTTCACAATTTTGAACGGTGGAGAGCTCGATTTCGAAACGTCGAAAACTTTGACTTCCTAACTCCCTTCATGCGTCGGTGACGACGGAGACGAGAAGGGCACCGGTTGACTCGGAACGATGCAAGGAACACGATGGTGCGAGAGGTGTAGAAAACGGGTGGTCGGATTGTCGTGAATCAACGAAAAACCAACGAAATTTGAGTTAAAACCGATAATACTTCTTATTGAAATTAACGACGAACGACACTGATTCACGATGAGAGGTTTGAGGGGTTTTGTTCATCTTTCGACAATGAACACGATGGTGGTTTCGGTTCGTCGAACGGTGGTGGGACGGTGAGTAGATCGGAGTTTAAAATCATTGACCAGGGAGAGGAAAAATGAAAAAATTTCTGCTGAACATACGGGGGGGAGAGGTTTATAATTCTCTCCAAAAGAAAAATGGGCAAATCATGAGTTTAGTCACTGAATTTCTTGCACTTTATAAAATAGTATTCTATTTTTGAAATTTTATAATTTAATCCTCAATTTCTTCCAAAATACCAATTAAATCCACCACTTTATAATTCTAAAATTTAGCCCCTAAATTGGGGTCTTACAATTCTCCTCCCCTTAAAAGAATTTCGTCCTCGAAATTCATTCATGTCACATAATTGTAGAAATGAAAATTCCAACAGTTCTTTCATATCTTCAAATAACTTTTATAGAAGTACAATTTCTTTACTAGTCCTTAACCAACTGAGTATACATTTTCGTCACAACTCTCCCTCATTCCAATAAAAGAATCAGAACATATTTATTCTTGTAGAATCAACTCAACATTGGTTACGAAAATAGGCTTATAGAGTGATAACATATCCCAATTTCATTATTAGAGTAGGATCAGAATTTCTCATATGAGTAACTCTCACATGGCTCGTAAGGTACTTTACAAAATTTAGACAAACGTTACTGGTATTTCTTTTTGTAAAGATAGAGCCTTAACATATAGAAACTTCGGTTTGCTCGTTACAGACAAGGACTCAACCTTGGAGTTCCGGCTCAGAGAGGTACGATTGTAGTATAGAGGCATGTACAAATCAGAAATCTTTTGACATTCGACCAGCCGGTCTATCATGAAAATTTTAACTCAAACAATAGCTCTGATACTGCTAAATGTAACCCCCTCATATAGATGCGGGTAACCCGATCTGATCTGGAGTGTCACATTAGGGTCATGAGAGCAACCCATTGTAAAAATAGCGGAAAATTTAAAACTTTTATTAAAACATATACCTTATAAAATTATTTATCAGTATGCAAAAATAAAACAGATTTTCAGACTCGTATATAAAACAAAATACAATTACATGCCCCCTAATCACATGTATCATACTCTGTAAACAAAACCGGAAGAACTCCCTTACTGAAGTTGATAGCTGCACTGGTACAATTCTTTTAACCTGCAATGGTGAGTAATAGAGTGAGCTTCGGAAAGCTCAGTAAAACAGAACTACCAGATGATGCTAAAGAACGTGTAGATACAGATAAACATATATTTCCTTATTGGTTCATATATTTACAGATTGTTTTAGGCTGAGATGAGGTCCTATTGATATCTCAGGCAGTAACAGATAGTATTCAGTTTAGATGGAAATATTTCAGATGTCTGGGTTTAGGAGATCGAATTAGGTTATCTAATGTGTTCCCATAAAACCAGTAAAAAGATACATATCTTTTAAAACATATTTTTTTAAAATTAAAAAATCCTAATAATCCCTCCAACCGCTACACATCATAATGTGTAGGTTCCCCAGAACCATACACCCAACCACACAACCAGTATTGCCTTGAGCACAAAGCCGATGAGCCTGCATATATAATTCCTCAAACAATAATCCTCCCAAATAAAACATTTTTTTCGTTAGTTAACGGAGATATTAGAAATCAAAACAAAATTCAGATCAAATATCAGAATAGAATCCAGACCAGAATCCAAGTTAGGTATCAGAACAGAATTCAAATCGAAAATCGAATAAAACATTCATGCGATTAGGGAACACACTAGTGTTTATAAATATTATTCAGAGATATTGGATAATCTTATCAGGCAGAGAAACACAGATCTTCAGTTTACCGATAGAATGTCGGAAGTTATAATCACTATTGGAAGAGTTCATTAACTGACAGAATCATCAGTTATTCAGAATATGATTTATCAGGATCATCTTTTTCAGACATTTTTCGGAAGCTCTACAAAATCAGAAGGGTATTCAGAATCCTTTACATCCGAGTTACTTGTGTTTTCATACATGACTAGAGTGATTTGAGCTGGTAAGGAAGAACGAAGATTCAAGACCATTATAATCTATGTCGATTGATCAGATTATCGAACAACTCTTAGATGAATAGTTCCCATAACTAATGCTTGTCGATTGGTTAATTCATTGTTCTTCAGGGTATTTACTCTTTGATACCACAAATTCTTGTCCATAGATCATCTTCGGAATCATAGCTGAATAGATCTTCCAATGTCTTTATTTCATTTCTACGCTTCCACAATATCATGAAATACTGACATGCTTTATTTGTAGTTCATGACCCAAAAGGACAGTACATCATGTAAGTTCATTAGCATTCCCAGACTTATCCAAATCAATTATTTAATCCTCAGTCTTTGAGCTTACTTAGTTCACTTATTAGTCAAGTCTATCCCGGTTACTTTAGAGTTTTCCAGAGTAATTCAGACGTTTTTGAATTTCGATACATATTATACTTCCGTTCAGTTCAATTTGGTATTCGTAGTTGATTTGTCTTACGAATATCTACTTCTTTGTACCGAATATGATCTAGAGCTTAGATGAGTACTTCCAGAATTATCATCGATCCAAACTTGAGGAGACGAACCAGGATTTGAGTGGTAAATATGCTATTCAGGTACTGACATAACATTAGCGTTGGTTAACTTACTTAAGTTGAGTTCCATAACTTTTAAGGGTTGTACAACACCCATGTTTGTTTGGATTCCTGAATTAATCCAAGACATTTACTTAGTATAGGCCATAAGGGCATTTTGGTCATTTTGGTGCTCAATGTTTTTCCATTCATTTCAAAGCTTGGGGATACCTATTTATTCCGGGGCTTGGTGATATTCTTGAGTTATTTTCATTACATGGGTATTTTGGTCATTTTACAGATCTAGGATATTTCAATCATTTCCTTTCGTCTGGTCTTATTATTTAATTCAAATTTATCATTTACCTCAGTCCTTTTGAACAATTTTGTCAGAAGAGGTATTTACTCATAACTCGGAGATTTACGGATTATCAAGAATTTTATGTATAAACGTGTGAACTTAACAATGGAACTAGTAATTCATCGATTTAGGCATGAATTCTTGAGTACTTTTCCATTCAGTATCAATTCAGGTATTTTTCCCTCTCAAGGGTAATTTCATAATTTTTAACCATGTAATTTCGGTATTAAAACTCTTAACACAGATAATTAGAATTTAGAAATTCTAGGGTTAATCGCTTTTCCGGATAATTTCTAAACTTTAAATTATTCCTTATCAAACTTCTAGCATCTTGTACAAGCCATCTTGGGTTTAGAAATCGGTTACCAGATTTTCTAAGCAAAACTAGCATTTTCCATGCACATCAGTAGTTTCATCATATCAATAAGTCTTTATAAAATTTTTATCCAACTTACAGGGTCAAATCTTGTCTTTTTACATCATAAGGATATTTTCGTAATTTTACCTAATCGAAGTATCCTCATAATTTATCATCCAAGTACCTTTAATGAGATAAATTATAATTTACATATTCGAGACTAATCCCTTTATCACTTAATCACAGAACTTGTAATTTAATAAAGTCTTAACTAATTTATCACTTAAACTGTATCTGGTTCGAGTCCATCCATAATCAAACATGCATAATAGACCAATCATATACATTTATGCATTTATCCATTATTAACATGTTCCAGAAAGCATAAAGAGGTAGTGATGTATTACCTCGATATTTATGCCATACTGATCGACCATTTAAACTTTATTCAAATGCCCTCGATCTTGAAATCAACTTCTAATAATTCCTCAGATACATATCAATAGAAATTTCATAAAAAATAGAGCTTAATTACGTAAAACAGATCGAATCTGGTGATAAATCAGTGAAAAACAGCTTACCGGGTTTGAATTTGACGAAACAGACTTCGGTTTCGGATTCAGGACGTCGAAAAACAAAAAATATGACATTTCAAAAATTTTGACTTTTTGGTCAAAGTTAAAGTCAACGGGTTTGGCTGACAATTTCTAGGTTTTTAGGTCCGAATTTGGCAAAATGGGCTGCGGAATCGAACTCAGGACGTCGAAAAATGTCAGGATAGGTATACCCGGAAAAAGTCAATGGTCAGTCAACGCCCGGTCAAAGCCTGTCAAAGGTCCGATCAACGGTAGTCAATGGCGGTCAATAGTAAACGGCATGGTCCAGGTGGCTCGGCTCAGTTCAAACAGCTCACTAGGCTTCCAGACGAAGCCCACTCTCAGGTGGTGACGCGTGAACAATGCTACGGTGTTCGAAAAATTCTTGAAAAATTTCTAAAAAATATTTTATGGCATTTTGAGACACTTACCAAGCTCGGTTCACAATTTTGAAGGGTGGAGAGCTCGATTTTGAATTGTCAGAAACTTTTTTTTCCTCACTCCCTTCATGCGCTGGCGACGACGGAGACGAGAAGGGCACCGGTTGACTCAGAACGATTCAAGGAACACGATGGTGCGAGAGGTGTAGAAAACGGGTGGTCAGATCGACGTGAATCGACGCAAAACCAACAGAATTTGAGTTAAAACCGACGATACTTCCTATTGAAATTAACGACAAACGACACCGATTCACGACGAGAGGTTTGAGGTATTTTGTTCATCTTTCGACAACGAACACGACGGTTGTTTCGGTTCATCGAACGGTGGCGGGACGGTGAGTAGATCAGATTTTAAAATCATTAACCAGGGAGAGGAAAAATGAAAAATTTTCTGCTGAACATATGGGGGGAGAGGTTTATAATT